CTCCGCAGCCCAGCCCACCCCCCGGTGGTCCTGCCGGCCACGCCGCCCTCCCCTCTTCCTAGAGAATCTCCTCCTGCCTTGTCCCGTGGCTTTCTTTTAGCAGCCAGCCTCACCACACCACCCCCTGCCTGGGGGGTTCCCTGGCTCCTCGCCCCCCACTCCTGTCCTGCCCTGCCCTCCAGGTCAGCCTCAACTTGACTTCGGTCCCCTTACACACTGACCTCCGTGAGCAGACAGCCGGTGACCTTCTGTGCTGCCAGCACCTTGCACGGTGACAGCACGTGCAGGGACCAAGTCACCCTCTCCTTAACTTATTGACACCCCGCCCCCCACGGGAGGGCTGCAGGGCTGGAAAGTGTTTTCCGTCATCACCTGTGCACATGGCAGGTGCACGGGAGCTTCCCGAAGCCCCCCCCTTCCCTGCTGCGCCCAGGGGGCGGGGGCGGGGGTGGCGCTTGTCCCCGCTCTCACCTATGAAACCCCAGCGGGCCGTATTCGCAGACAGCATTTATGTACTTTTCTCTTCACACGCTCTAAAAAGCGAACGCGGGCTTGTTCCGCTCATCGGTGGCTCCCCAAAGACGCCCCGCGCACACGTACCTCTGCCGTCGGGGATGCTTCTAGAACAGGTTTCTCGTGGACCACTGGCGGGATGTGGATCAGCTGCATGCTTTCTAAGTAGTGCTGGTGCTGCCTGCTCCAGTCCAGGGTGTCGTACATCAAGCAGGCGATGTGCTCAAAAATGTGGGTGCCCAACTCCAGCTACAGGCAACACAGTCAACCACGGTTAGCTACTCACATTCTGGAGGGAGGGCAGGGACGAGGCTAACTCTGCCCACCCACCGAGCACCTATCAGTGCACCTGTCTGGGCGGACCACCCGTCTGGACGGAGCACCTGTCCGGGTGGGCTTCGCACACCTGCTCTGACAGCCACATTTCCCAACGAAGCTGCAATTTGATAACCCTTGCCCAACTTAACAGTGATAAATGTTTTTGCTTGTATTTGTACTAAAAAAATGTAGTAACATTTCTGGCAAATGATCCCTTAACTTAACTAGTTAAATCAAACAGCCCATCACAGGCTAAATAAAAGCCAGAAAATTCTCTCCACGACCAGGGCCTTAGCATGAGTCGTCGCAGGTGTCTTCCAGAAGCAGTTAGCACTTCTCGATGGGCATTCAGTGATGTAAAGCTTCCGTTACTCGGGCTCAGCAGAAACAGTCTGCTTGCTTGCAGCCAGAGGCTAGCTGATGCGTCCCCTCTTCCAGAGAGGGGACATCGCGGCCGGCTCCAGCGGCAGCAGCGAGGCCAGGTCGGCTGACATACAGCCGGCAGGATGCCCCGACGTGGCTGCCTCTCCCGGGCGTAGATCTGTCACTTCATGTTTCTGCAGCGGGACTCAGGTAACCATGTACTGTGCTCTTCAGTATTAAATCCAAGAGTGTCCCGTGACCCAGCTCAGCATGTGAACCACCTTCCAGGCCCTCGTGTGCTGGGGATGAGGCCTGTGCACAGACACTGTGAGGAAACGTCCAGCGAATTCTGGGGGCTGTAGTTCGTCAGCGTGGCTTTGCTGCTCTGCTTGGTCACCTCGATGGCCTGTGCGACACCCTCACTGTCTAACTGGATGATGATCTCATTCTGATGTCGGCAAGGGCCTGCCATCACTAGTGTCTTGAGAAGAATGTTTTTAAAGATTTTTATTTATTTATGTGTATGGAACTGGGGTACAGGCCAGAGGTGTGTGTGTGGGGAGGGGGGAGTGAGAGGTTTCACCAGAGACTGAGCAGGGAGCAGAACAGGCAGATGGATGAAGCAAACTGCGGAGGGGAGCAGTGGGTGAGAGGCCTGCTGCACCCTGTGGGTCACTCCCTGGCCGGGGATCAAACTCGTGCTGCAGTGGCTGCCCGTAGCTTCATAGTGCTGTGCTTTAACCTGTGGGGCCACTAGGGATGGCCCAGATTGGTATTTTTTTTCAGCATCAAACACACTCTTGAAGTTCAAGTGCTGTTTCAACACTTCTGAGCTCTATTTTTGAAAAGCAAAATTCTAGCCCCACTGGCTTTCCTGAAATGAAGTGGTCACGGGCGTCAAGCAAACAAGGCGTGTGGGCTCTGGAGTGGGAAGCAGGGGCCTGGGAGGACCGGGGCTGGCCTCCGGGGCTGGCCTCCAGGGCCGGCGCTGGGCCGAGGACGCGGCTGAGTTCGCCTGAGCCAGTGCCCTCTGGGAGCCCTCACGAGCTCAGGGGCCAGGTGCCTGGTGTGAAGAGGCCCTCGAGGACTGGTACTCCTCTGGGTTACGGCTCAGAAATTAATGCATGAGGGTGGTCACCCAATGAACGAGAAACGGGCGTGCTTTTCACAAGGTTTGCAGCCCAAACTGGTCCCCAAATCTTATGGGTGTGGGCTCTTGTGAGGTACTGATTTTATGTTGGCGGGGGGGGGGTGCATGTAGACCTGGCTTATTGGAGACAAAGAGCAGAAAATGGTTTGACCCGGGATTTCAGGATGGCTGGGAAAGAGCCTCTTCTCCAAACCTATCTCACATTTCTGGGGTGCGACCTACAATTCCTGTAACGCAGGGTGGGCCACGCACAGCACTGCTGTCCTCAGAATGCCACACTCTGCTCTGCAGGGACATGCTGACCCCTGTGAGTCTGGAGCAGCAAAGAGCAGGAGGCAAGAGGCCCTCTCCGAGCTCAGGGGTAGGAGGCGAGAGGGATGAGACCACGCGGGAAAGCTGGTCTGAAGAAGCAAACCCCAGGGAGTCTGGCGCGGCCAGTCCCGCCTGGCACAAGCCCTGCCTTCAGCCTCTCTCTCCAAGGATAGTGTCGCCTTCCATGCACCCTTAAGACTGCAGGCGAAACGTTCCTCTCGCCACTGGAGACATCAGACGTAAGCGTCCTGTTTCTACATGGCGACACCTGTCAGTCAAGCGGACCCACCCAAGGCTATTTATTCAAATGGTGCCCGCCCTTCAAGGCCCCAACCTGGGCCCTGCTCCAGGGTTTTCATCATTCCCTCTCAGGGGGACAGAGCCAGGTGCCCTCATAGTGGGGAATGTCCATGCTCCAGCCCAGGCCATGGACAGCAGGCTCAATGCCCAGGAGTGGCCCCAGGCTGCGCCCAACACCCTGCCCAGCTCCCCCACGTCGCTTTTCCCAGCGGCCTTCAGAGCATGGCCTGATACTGCCCCCACCCACCACCACCCCGGCCCCCCCGCCCCCCCGCGCCCTGCCAGGACTATTTTAGCTCGGCTCCCTGGGACACTCAGGAACAGGGGTCCGTTGGAAGAGACTTGAGAGAGTTCCTCTCGGCTTCGTCCCTCAGCCGTCTGTCCTGAACAGCCTCATCACCCGGCCTTAGCTTAGTTAAAGCACTCATGTCTTCTCTTTCTGAGTGGGTCAGGAACTGAGAGTATGCCCCAGATAACCCAAGCACCCAGGCCTGGGGGATGGCGAATGTCGCCCCTGCTCTGTGATGTCGGTCTTGTCTCTCTGCAGGTGCCTCGTAGCCGGGGCCAGTAAGTGCTCTTGGGAAACACCTGCTCATTGTCAGACTGGGGTCAAGTCACCCTCTGACAACAGACTTGGTTGGTCAGGTATTTCAAAATACAAGTTTGGCAATAAAATCAAGGACCTAGTAAGACAAAGTCAACTTACACATCAAAAAGCCAAAACAAACAAACAAAAAAACCGGGCCCTCCCGGGTGGCGCAGCAGGCTAAAGCTTCAGCACGAGTTCGATCCCCGGACCCGGAGGTGACCCGCATGGCGCGGCAGACCTCTCCTGACCTGCCCGCTGCCCCCCTCAGCAGTGTACTTGGTCAATCGGCCTGTTCTGCTCCCCGCTCTGTCTCTGGTGAATCCTCTTATCCCCGTGCCCCCAACACCTGTGGCCTGCACCCCAGTTCTTCTACATAATAAATAAGTAAATAAAGTAGTGGTCTGCAATTTTAAAAAAAAGGTCAACCGTAACCACCATTGGTATCTGGTGTCACCACTGTTTGACCAGAAGGACCCAGCATGGAGCCCGACCGCGTAACGTCTGCGGGGTGAACGAATCAGCGGGCTGCGGGGAGCCACAGCGGCACCTGCCGGAGCAGCCCGGGGGGAACCCGGAGGCCCGGGACTCACCAGCATCTCGCTGTCGGACCAGGAAGAGGGGAAGTTGTCCGCCTTCGCCGTGTACTCCAGCCGGGCCACGTTAAAGAGATTCGTTTCGGGTTTTTCGTTATTCAGGATCGGTTCCAGGTACTTCCAGAAGACTTCAAGCTCCTTCGTGGCATTCTCTTTCTTCAGTCTCTCAGCTTCTATATCTAGTGATGACAACATGTTTATACTAAGACAAGAGGGTGCCGACTTCCCGCTCTAAGTGACGGGGTGAGTCACAGGCATTGGGACATGCCTGGAAGGTTCTGGAAACATGCAAAGAAAGAGTTTTGAGAAGGTCTTTGGATCTGGACTATACAGTCGTGAAATCAGAGAATTTTTCTGAAACCAGCATTGAACATAAGCTTATCCCATCCGTTGCTTCATAGCTGAGTGGTGGGGGCAGCCCTCGGGGCTCTAGAGAGCCTCCATGTTTTCACTGCGATCGCAGTAACCGTATGGTTTGTTTGGCCCACCACTTCGTGATCTGAGTACCGTCTGCTGCACTGCTGGTCAGCCATGTGGCTGATCAGTTCTCCTCGTGTGCTAAACTGATCGATGACTCATGCTTCAGTAAACTTTGGTCACATTAAAATAGAGACTGGGACCCTCCCGGGTGGTGCAACAGGTTAAAGTGCAGCACTAGGAAGCTGTCGGCAGCCACTGCAGCATGAGCTGGATCCCGGCCAGGGAGGGACCCACACGGCCCAGCAGACTCTCCTGTTCCATGCGCCGCTCCCCTCAGCAGTGTGCTTCAATCTGCCTGTTCTTCTCCCCGCTCTGTCTCTGGTGCATCCTCTC